GAGCTTTCAGCACTGTGCTGGTAAACAGGTTCTTCTTCCTATCTAAAAACGTGCATCTCTCCGGCGTCGATTAGCTCTGATGCCTGCAGAGATGTCTAACACTCACGTACAATTAGCTGGTTAAAGTGTAATGTGCTATTGTGATGTTTAGACTTGATGAAATACACTGAGGACAGAAATGTTTATATGTGTGTGTGTTCTTGTCTTCCCAGTTAAGCAGATTGTCTTTCTAATTAATAATTCAGCATCTTTTCTTAAATTTTCAACTTGTTTGCGTTCCGGACCAGTGGAAAAACATACCATACATTGCGGCGTATAAGTGGAGTTTTTTCAGATCAAATATATTTCCATAACTAAGGGTTGACTTATATGTCAGGTAAAAATGCTTTTGCCTCTAAAAGAATTATCTATTCATGTTCACAATGGCCCTTAAAATGTGACTCAAAAAACTACAATTAAAATTTAAAAAATAAAAAATAATTAGAAATCTTATTATCTCAACTAATAAAATAGTAGAAGAATTTGAAGTATAATTACTTCAGATATGAATTCTCAAAAAAAAATTTAAAAAAAAATTTAAAAATTAACCTAAGAATAAACAAAGGAATCCAAAAAATGTTTTCATGCTCAACAATATATGGAAGCTACATAGACTTTATTTGAAGACAACACTCAGATTTAACAAGAGCAACATTTTAGGATATTACTTAACAACAATGAGTGCTGGAAAATGACAAAGGAAATTCCACATAAACTTGAGACTTTTCAAAACGAATGTCTTGGGAATATTTTTGATAAACAGGATCACACACAAAACTAGGCAGGAAAACAAAGTGTATATTACTCGCAACCGTTAAAAAAAAAAAAAAAAACTTTTGAAATGGCTTGGACATGTGACACTTTGTCAATGACATGTCTCCGATGGACGGCAGATGGGAAAGAAAAAGAGACGTGGACCACCTAATAGAACCTGAAGAAGGACAGTAGAAAGGGGAACTCAGGAATAAACAATGACACTGAAAACCATAAGTACAGTGGCAGTAGATTGGCAGCAATGGAGATCAGTTGTGAATTTATCATGTGTCGTGTCACAAAGATATGAAAAAAAATGTATAAGACAACTGTACTGCTCATAAAGTGAGCTAAAATTAAGGTCGACTTATATATCAGGTCGACTTTACGCTACAATGAACGGTATCTATTTAACCTGCCATTATCTTCCCCCTCCTAATCTCCCCCCCCCCTCCCCCCTCATCCATTATTATAACATTTAAAAAAAACATATCTGTCGATGTTGCGATCAGTCGATCCAAGACAGGATCAAAAGCTCTCCGCAGAGAAATGGTTAACTCGTTAAAGGGTTTGTTTTCTAGTTTTGTAATTTAAAATTGTTCTTTTAATTTTCCACTATAAAAGAATAGTTCATCCTTCTGATGGAAGCCGTCGTCGTGTAGCGTCTAGACGCTCCTCTATGTATCCTACTGTCGTGGGTTTAAATCCAGCCAGTGCTAGACCTTTTTTTGAATGGCTTTGGCTTCCAGGACCACCCAGACTGAAATAACGTATCATAATATAGCCCTTGACCCATTAGGTCTGTAAGGTATGGTCAGGCCTGGCACTGTAGCCAGCAGTGTTGGGGGGCAGCCAGCTCTCCTAGGAGGGTGAAAAGTGAAAATTAGTAGCCTGCTGCTAATTCCCGTGACCACACAAGCCAACCCCACCTTCCTGTGGAGAGGAGTGGGCCAAGCCAGAGTTGAAATACTGCCCGAGACGCACCACGGTGTTACTAATCGATCGGATACTACACCGGCTCGCTCGTCACCCCGGTTACCAAGGACCGCGCCATCCGTACCATCGTAACTGACTTCCAAAGGTGGAGAGAGATGATCAGACAGTCAACAGAAACTGGTGACCCAACGACACGTGGTATTACGGGATGATGATAACGATGACCCATTAGGGTCGTGAAGGTGAACTGATAGTAGCACTAGCACATAAAACCTGCTAACTTTCTCGGTCTTACGCTATATGAATAAGTGTATGATAACTTTTTTAGTGTCTTGGTTTATAACATTTATTCTGTAAGCTAACAATCAGTTTACTCATCCTCCTTGGATTGGAGGCTAGCGTTGGGGTTCGTCACCTTGATAGCCAACTGCTGGGCACGCTCGACAATGTCTTTTCTCTTTCTGCTGGAGACATTGTGTGCAATTTCGGCAGAGAATGTGCGGTTCTGCATCAGTAAAACTTCCAGTTCCTTGACACTGTGGAGTATGAATTTCTTGAAGACATCAGGGCAGACATGACTGCACCTCTTCCAGATACCGTAACCGATGTTTGGCACCTTGTACTGACCCTTGAACCTCCTCCTGACTCTTTTATCAATACCATTGGGCTTACGCTATTTTGCCTTTCCATATCTGTCGGACTGATGACGAATAAACTTATTCGTCCCCTTCCTAATGATGTTTGTCTTGACGAGTGGTCTGATAGCGGCCATGATGGATCTGTTCCGATAAAGCTTAGTTCTGTCCATTTCCTGACGTTGTCATTCCAGATCCTCTTCTCGACGGACCCCCAATGCTCCATGAGATACTGTCTTTGTAATCGAATCATGTCTCACCACGTGTCCAAACCAAGCAAGCTTGCGACATTTTACCAGTGCCAAGAGAAGCTCTTGATGTTCGCAAATTTTTATATTTAGTCTCTGACATCTGTATTAATTAGTTTTGTGTTTTAAATAATTAATTCGTAAAATGCGTCTGTAGCATTTACATTCGAAAGCCGGAATCCCCCTTTCCATTCCCACAATGAAAGTCTAACTCTCACATCCGTATAAGAAAACATACACTACCAGTCATTCGTAAATGATGACCTTAACTGCGATACTGACTTTGCTCTTCCACATCGTATTCAGCTGCGACATCTCGGCTGTTGCCATATCAAGTCTTGTCTTGATCTTTTTGGTACAGCTGCCATCGTTGCATATGTGGGAGCCGAGACATTTAAAAGTTTAAACTTCTTCTAGTGGTTTCACTTTTATCTGTATGTTAGTAGGTACCATGCAATTTTTACGACAGTCTCTGATATTGTATTAAGTTTTTGCAGTTCTGTTTCGGAACCAGCCATGATATCTATGTCGTCTGACAAACTTAAATTACACAGTGGATATAGATGTTTCATGACTTTCTAGTGTTTCTCTCATTAATGTGTTCCAAATACAAATTGAAAAGAAGGGGGGATGAAAGTATGCAATCCTGTCTCACTCCCACACTAGTTTGAAACATTTTCCTCTGTCATTTCGAATGAGTTTTGTACTGCTTGCATCTTTATAAAGTGCTTCAATGGTCTATGATGTTCATATCGAAGTTGAAATTTCTCATTATTTACCAGAGCGCAACATGTCACTCACGGTGAAGTCGATGAAGTTATGGAATAGCTTCGAAAACGTTGTCTGTGGTGGTTTTATTTTTCTGGAAAACCCGATTGTTTTTTGGCTAGTATTGCTTTCAGTTTGTTAAGCAGTATCTTTAGCATTTTTTTTTTTTTTTTTGCTTGCGCGGGAGATAAGAATAATAGGTATAAAATTGTTGCAGCTGTTCAGATTTCCGTTCTTTGGCAGTGGTATCACCATTGATGGTGAACGAGAAAATGGCTTGCAAGTGTGTCCATGAGATCTTGAACGAACTATAGTCATCCATCTGTCCAATACCCACCCATCCGTCCATAATTTGTACAACTTATAAGAGGACGAGAAGAGGACAAAAAGATGGATGGAAGAATAGACACACGAGAGCAAAAAATTTACCCTTATTAGTCGCTTTTTACGACATGCATTAGGGAAGAGGCACAGGTGACCACGCCTAATTATTTCTATATGAGCCATTTAGTTGTCTATTTATTCGTGTCTGTCTACAAATTGACTGTGCAGTTTGTCTATAATTAATATTCTTCGTCTGTCTGCGTGTCTTCCCCCCCCCCGTCTCACTGTATTTCCGCCAATTCATCACATCAAATGATGCCTACTGCACAGCTACTAAGCGTATATTCAAGTAGAAGAAACATTCAAACAATTTTACGAAGTGAAAACAATTAAACCCCGTACCTAAACCTCGCTTCCGTTTGGCATCTGTAATATATCGCTTACCCTTTTTCCGATACTTTAATGAAAGCATGTATCAGTCATCTCTTCACAAGCTGTCATACGTTTTTGCTATTCCGCCTTGATACTGCCATTTACCTCCAACAAAACATATTTTTTCTTTCTCGTAAACTAAATACGAAACGCATTGGCTAAGTGAAATTAATAGTTTTGGATTCTTTTCCTGTCTGGTGTGTTTTTGTGTATGGTGCTAACCATTTGTTTCTTTTTCTTTACTTCTTTGCGTTCGGTTTCGTATGCTTAGATCAGACCATCAAGTGGGTTGCCTGTATGAACTCGCATGTCAGCAGCAGGTCCTTCATGGTTCCCCACAGCTTGCTCTGTTTGATAGGTACTATACTTCGGTAAACCTTACGAACATCTCCCCAAATAGTTAGTCCCGTCTATTTAGATACCAGGTCACTATTGATTGATCTTCCTCAGCCACGTAAATTTTACTGAAGTTTACGGGGGTGTTCCACGATACTGTTGATATTGCTCGTTGTATATTCTAGCACGTCAGCGCTTTTAATGCTCCAAAAACATGCAGGACCTGCTCTAACACAACCTTTCCTCCCAACCGCCCCCCCCCCCCCCCCCCCGTCTTCTTTTTTAACGAGAGTGCTGCAACCTATGTCACAGGCATTTTCCTTCTCAGAAAGATAACGTGGTCTAGTGCGTAATTGGGCGGGGCTATCTCTGTTTGGGGGGAGATGTTCGATATTTTCACTTAGACTTTTTTTGGCTTCCTCAAAAGAGTGTGTTACAGCCAGTATGCACTATCTGCGTTTGTCAGCCAAACACATCTGATTTCAGCTCCAGCTTAACACTACTCTCCATACTAGACAGCCGGTGTAAAGTAACTACGTGTGGATACCATCCCAACTGTGGAGTTCCTGGAAATAAAAGAGCTGATAAACTAGCTAAGCAAGGTGCAAATAAGGAACAACCTGACGTACTAGTCTCTTATCAACAAAAGAAGAGAATAATCAAATCAATCAGAAAGCCACCAAAACCAGCACAAGACGATTACAATTTATCTACGTGGCAACCGGCAATAGGTGGGAATGTGGCCAAAACCACGCCGGCCGCCATTACTTCCCAGGACTCCACCTGGTACCAACTTAGGGTTGGGTCGACCTGGGAGTCCAAGTCATTTTTTAAAAGTCTGGTTCTGTCAGGACGCGAACCAACAACCTTCCGATCCGCGTCTAGCCGCCAACGCCACGGCGGCTCCCACTAGGTTATGTGAGTAATATGAAATGGCTGAGCACTGCACGACATCAAGGGCCCTGAAAAGAATTCCCACAGTGCTAATGCGTTCAAAGGAGACAGACCAAAATAGTGTCCTGACCGGTGATGTAGTCGTCTTCCGGCGAGTTGGTGGGCCACCCGGTCGCCGATGAAGAAGGTGGAGGATAAAATGATAATTTTCACTCGTTGAAAAGAAGAACTACGCTGAGGCTCCCGCCCCTTCTGTTACATAAAGTTTTAAAACTCCTATGCTAGGCAAAGGTATGCTCATGTATCAAAAAAATCAGGCAAGCTTCAGATATATTTATTTTTTAATGTTGATATTGCCGATGTAATGCACCTCTATGAGTTCGCAGATGATAATGATGATGATTAGGGGTTAGAGGTGGCTATTGCGCCCCCCCCCGCCCCCTCGTCAAGATAGTTACACTAGATGAGTATCGTTAATTTTATACATTAGAGTCCTATGTAGTCACTTCATAGTTAGAGCCTATTTGTGTATGTGTACTGTGTTGTCCTTTATGTGCTGATGAAGGCTAATCGCCGCAACGTCCTTTGTTTGTTTATTGTGATCGATTTTGTAAAGCTAACATAAACTAATTGTTGTTTCTTACCAACTTTTTCTCTTCCCTATAATTTTCTACTCCTTATAAAAACACAACAACAGGAGATGTCAGATGTATTAAGGAAGTTAAATGTAGAATAGCTCAGGCAAAAGGAGGCATTCTACAAAATGAAGACTATGCTATGCAGTCTTTCTTTGTCAGTTGAATTGAGAAAGATTATTCTCAAGAGTCATATTAATCCTATTCTACTGTACGGAAGTAAAAAAAAGCAACGTTGGCGGATCAGTGAAAAGTTATGCAGAAGAGGAGGAGATTTGGTTTTATAGACGAATGATGAGAAAAACCTGGCTAGATAAAAAGATTATTGACGTTATGAAAGAAATGTATTCACAAAGAAACTGACTGGGAGACAACTTACATTATTTAGTCACGTCATGAGTAAGACTAAATCAGAATGAATCGTGACGCTGGTAAAGTTAGGCAGGAAAATAACCAGAGGGACGCCAACAAAGAAGATGCTGGACAGACTGAAACCATGTCACGGAAGATAATACGTGTAGAACTGATGGAAAGCACACGCGACACAAGTTTGTGGTTAGATATGACTACTTACCATAAGGCATAGACTATCATAGGTGTCAGAACTGACTGAGTACACGAAACAGAAGGTTGTGGATAAATATGATTGATTGAGTACATGATACAGAAGGTTGGGGATAGACATGACTTTAGTGCGGTTAAGAAGTCATGTCTTCAACTTTAATATATATCGAATACTAATGTACGGATCAACACGAATGGTTGCATGTTGTGTCTTGAATTTCAAATGTCGTTATGATTTTATAATTTACAGTTGCATAGGTGCTGTAGTTTCCCTGAAGCGGCAACTTTCTTTGATATCTGTTTAACCAATAATTATATACCCCTTAAAAAAAACAGAATATACATAAACTGACACATCGTGGAGATTGTTTGGAAATCAGTTTGCGTGTGCAGCGATGCGTGCTGAATATTTTGACAGCCTATCGCACATACAATGAAAAATTCACACCTCACAGGAGGCTAATGCTGGAGATGACTACCCAAGAGTGAAACTCCAAAGAAATGTCTGCAAGTTGATGTTTTGAAAAGTTGCCGTTACTCAGTTAACTGTTAGCATGCTGACTGTTTGCTTTAATTAGTGTCTGCTTATATATATATATATATATATATATATATATATATATATATATATATATATATATATATATATATATATATATATATATATATATATACAACAAACATGGCAACATAAAAACTAGGTGTTTGTTGAGATTATATTATCTTCTTGTTGCAAATGCACGATTATTGGCAGGTTACAAGGCAAATTTCAACAGGACACTAAATGGTTACCGAGTTACAGATTTATTTAGTTGGTCACGACTTCTGGTGCAGACTGTACCAGCTCTACTCGGTATAGACTATAAGAACACAATGAGTTTTATGTATGGATATTTAGAGAGATGTAGACAGAGAGATAAACGCCTAAGCTTTCTT